TTCCAGACACTTCTTCAATCAGTAAGTGACAGGCCACAAAATGACTCTATAACCATCTGGTAACACTTTGTCCTTGCAGAGCTAACAAAATGAAACATGTCCTCTCCTAAAGCCCTGCTACCAGTTTGTGAGACTTTCTTTTCTGAGGCTAACATTTGTTATTCTACGGAGCCTCAAATATGTCTATGTAGCTTGCATGTATTTTTGCAGTGCCATTTATTTCCATAGTAATTTAGGATGGGGTGCATCCAGGACCGCCCCAAGCATTCAGCTGCACTGTGGTGATGATTATAAAGTTGGACTCCGATATGAAGGGGGCTGCTGATGGGAAAGGAAGGGTGACTCTGGTGGAAATTTTGCTCCTGATGGAAAGGGGGCCTTCTGATGTGTTGAGGGGAACTCCACCAGGGTTTTTTTTTTTGCATGGGGTTCTCCACTTAAAACCCATACCAGACCACTATCTAGGATAAGATTTTGTAGAGAACCACACGTAATTTTTTACATTTACATTGGGAACTGGGAGTGCCTTTAGATTTTGCATACTTTTAAAGGGTGACTGAAAAAATGTTGAGAAACCCTATGCTAAGACTTTGAGACACATTTTATATTCTTACTAGCAGTGCATGAAACATGTTTCTGTTACAGAGGAGGCTAGATATTTTTTTGCAACCGTTACCCGCACGTTACCCTTTCTCTTTTTCAATATAAATATTACACATTGCATGCATTCATTAAAAATAATGATAGTCTCATTGAGGATTTAACATTTGTCCTGTGTTGAAATTGTATGGCTTGTATGAAAAACGCTTGAGAGTTTATTTATAGCCATTTTGGCATGCTCTAATTAGTCACTATGCTTTCAAGCATAGAGGCTCAGCAGTTTCACCATTCTGCTGTTAGGTGCTGAGAGTGTGTAGTTAAATTGTGCATAGTAAAATTAAGAATAGTATGCATGACAAAGATCTGATTAAGTATACAGCTTGGATACTACTTAAGCTGTCTAGCTGTATGTGGTTTTTGAATAACAGATGCTGTAATAACAACCATGCAGTAACACAATGCCATTTGCTTGTTGTTATTAAGACATCCAAAAATGCAGATGGTTTGGTAAGTCTGTGGTTTAAGTGACTGTTGTGCTAGTAATGGAAAATAATCTTCATAGTTATTAGTTACTTTGTAAAATACTTTTCCAATTAAAGTGGGGATGTTATATAATGTATTACCAATATTTATTACCAGTTTTATGGGCACCTAAACAGTATACTAAAGGTGCTAATATATCATTTAAGCATTGTGGCTTATTAAATGATTTTAGACATTCCTGTGCGCATGTAACCACTTGGACGTGTACAGCCTGCTGGGTGCGACTGTATGCAAACACCTGTAACTACTGAGTGCGACTGTATGCAAACACCTGTAACTACTGAGTGCAGACATACACTCCTTCTTGACGACGTACAGCCCATTGTGGCCATGTGATGAGCCCCTAGGATCTTTATGTTAGTCATGTGACTGTAATTTCCAAATCCCATGATGAAAATAACTGTCACTTAAAAAAAAAAAAAGGATTCTTATGGTGTGTTAGCTTGTGAAATGAGACTAAAAGCTAAATTTGTTAAGCTGTAATGACTGAGATTTGCCATGACAGCCACATGGATATAAAAAAAAATGATTGTTAACCTACTTAATGGGATCACATGAGTCCTGTAGTTATGAGTACTGTAAAAAAAACCCCCACAAAGATGTGTATTAGTTAACGTTATGGTTACTTAGGATTTGAAAGACAGAATGTGTTATCAATATGGGTTCAGGCATTTGACAAAGCAGCAACTGTAATAGCTCAGTGGTCCTCTCATCTCTGACTCTCAGTTCTAAGATCTATCATCAGAACACCTAAATAAAGTAATATTAGAGGTTAAATTTAAATATTTATGGTCAAGCTTGTTAATAATTGAATATGAAATGTTTAGATTCTTGCATAACCCCCTTATCATAGGGTTTCTTGAATAACTACGCCATGTGAAAAAATAACGATTTCCTATCTATGCAATATTTATGTGTGTGAAATTAATGATTTGATTAAAAATAACATAACACATGTAGTTAAAATAAGTTATGTGCTTAGTCAATCAACCCTATTATTGCAAAGATTATATATTAGATTATTGTATTTGCCCCCAGGGGTCTTTCATAATTACCAAAATGAATTCAATCTAGATGGATAAAATGTCCTTATTATGACTGAACTAAGGCAACTAGTCTGAGGACGCAGCCTCCCTGTACACCATACAATAGCATGCCATAACATGCAAAGGTGTGCTGCAAAAGAGATTGTTGCCAAAGTGAAATTGTTTGTAGATCTAACCTTCTATATCTGTTTTATTTTTGTATTTTTATCAAAAAAGTATATCACAGACAAATAAATGCAGTTTATTGACGGTATTGTCAGACGTTATAAAACGAAAAATCAGTACCCACCCACTCACATAGGGATTTTTCAACAAGTCATAATATCTCTGTGTGAAAATAAATGCCTCCAATGGTCAGAAACACTAATGTTTTCCTTCTAGGAAAGCCCTTTCCTACGACTAGACCCAACAATACACACCAATAGTAATATTTGGGGTTTATTAGGACAGAAAAAAGCTGTGCAAAAAGTGGCAAAACATCCTGGGCAATGGTAATAACAACAATTCACTGACAGCCTATTCACTACCTTGGCAATTGATGGACACCCTATTCACTGCCAATACAACAACACAATGAAGTGAAGAGGGCTGTTGTTTGTTCTCTTTACCACCTGTAAGAGGCCTTCCCCAAACACAGTACGTAAGTAGAGAACCTCACTGCAAGCAGCACTGAACAGCAACAAGTATGCCAGATGTGGAGAATGAGTGATGCAGCTACCTACTAGGTTTTAACAACAACAATCTACATGCCCTAACTAACCACTGTTCAGTGGGTAAATGAGCCATAAAGTCTGCTGGCAATAGGGCCCTGTATGGCCGAATGGTGGATTGCTTAACTTTCACATTAATGTATTTGTAATCCATAAAGGTAAAGGTATCTTTGCAAAGTGTCCTGCAACAACTGTCAGTGAAAGGAATGTTCCCTTTAGGAAAGCTTCACCATAGGCAATAGTGTCTCAACAAGCTCAGGCAAAGTGCAACACACACAAGAAGGTGGCCAAAGGCTGCTCAGGACTGCAAAGACCGACAAATGTCCTCCTGGGTGCATTCCGTTCTCAGATCTTCTACAAACTGGATGGAGGTGAATAATAGGTATGCTGCACAATCTTGACTGTATAATAGGGGATCAGTGGGAGGCCACAATGCCCCCAGTGACTAGTACACAGGATGGCTAAGTGGAGCTTGTGCTGTTTCCCTTCTCTGGCCACTCTCTTGCTCTGGGTCTCTGGTGGCTTGTATCCTGGGGCTTCATATGTCTCTGATATATATTACCAACCTCCTTTATTTTTATGAATGAACATGTAAAAGCATAGCACTGAGCATTAAATGTTCATTCATAAACTGAAGGAGATCAGTAAACAAAAGAGGCATGTGTACAATCTTCTGCAGTTTGTGAATGGACACAGAAGAGTTCAGTACTAAACTCTTCCATGTTCAGTAGTAAGTGGAGTGGAGCAGGTGGAGGAGGATATTTACTCTGTAAGGACTCCATGTCCTTGATCTCTTCCTTCACCCAAGGGGAAATATTTCTCCATAAAGGGCTTGTCACAATAGTACATGGGTATATGCCTGTCATTACCAACTCCGCAAACACAGGAGCTCACGTACCCTAGTGCCTGGTCCCTAGACCGTGACACATACACACGCACACACGTACAGTTTTTTGACTTTCACCATTTCACAAAAATAAAATTTGCAAATATTTGTTATTTATAAACTCAATCACATTTTATACTTTAGTCGGACTTTTGAAAGTTATGTTATGTTTCAGTACGGTAATATTTAGGTAAAAAGACTAAAGTGACTGGCACCCAACTTATTTTCTGTCCTACCTACCTAGACTATGAGATTGAAATGTTAGCCTGCCACACTATTATGGGGTCATTCTGCACAACACCAGGAGAAGGAATATTGCAGATTACGGTTACTTTTTGTCCCACTCTTCTAGTTGTAGGTTCTAAGCATAAGGCCCCATTCACACACGAATTGGCCTGCACGTACAGCTCCGTGCTGCTTGCGGGTCCGTACCAAGTAGCTGCCGGGAAGGACAGGGGCTGCGTGTGATTAGTACGCAGCCCCCATCCTTCTCTATGGGGCTACGCGGCCGTACCCTCCCCCTACGCTCACCTCAATTGCAGGTCCGTAGGGGTGCGGGTGAGCATATTCATACGCCGCCGGAATGGATCCTGTATGCATCCCAGCCAGAAAACCCGCACCCCTACGGACCTGCAATTGAGGTGAGCGTAGGGGGGCATACGGCCGCGTAGCCCCATAGAGAAGGACGGGGCTGCGTACTAATCACACGCAGCCCCTGTCCTTCCCGGCAGCTACTTGGTACGGCCCCGCACGCAGCACGGAGCTGTACGTGCAGGCCGATTCGTGTGTGAATGGGGCCTAAAGAAGCACCATTCAGAAACTGTCATTCTCACTCTCTCTATTCTCTCTCCAGTCTTAGCGTGTCTATGTGTGGCTTTGACTCCCAATCTTGTTAATGGGAAATTAAGATTAGTCACTAGGATGGCAAAGACACATGACAGTTGATCTAGAGGGCAGAAAGTATAAATCTAGTACTGCAGGTCATGCTTTTTTTGGATGGAAATTTATCAGAGGTAGTGTTTGGGTGCTTTGGTCGTGTAACTGACTCAGGTCACCCAAACAAATGATCCCTGGCAATTAATGGACAATTGGACATTATTTTTCATCTAATTTTGTGAATATATATTTCATATTTGTTTTTGAAAGATTGAATATTTATGTAATGATGTATGACATTTTGGTTGAAGTTTTTCTGTATTTTTCTTTAAACAACAGATCAAGAGTCAGTCCCGTATCAGCCTAAATCAGAGCACCAAGAGGAAGGTATGTGAAGCACTGTCTGTCATGTTTTATTAAGAATAGATATACATTTGTTACTGTTAAATGAAATGCTTAAGGCACAAACAGACATTCAGTAAAGATTTTACTGGACTAAGCTTTGATTGTATTCCTAATCACCAGATTATCATTATGTGTGTGTAAAGCCAAACGTTTTTCTTTTGGATAGCATGGAGAAAGGTTAGAATTCCCATCAGGTTTTTATGGCTCTCTGAGTCAAGTGATTGTTTTATTAACAACTAACGTTAGAATCTGTTATTAGAAGCAGAATGGGAGAGAATTCTTTTAATTGTACAGAACATGAAGAGAATTTCTGACTCATCTCAATCATATTGCTTATATGTCCAAAACTGGGTGAATTAACTACCTCATGGGAGGAGCAGGCTTTGCATCACAATAAACTGTTTTCATGATATGCTGATCACATTATTACCCTTGCACCAGCTTACTTTTGTCACAGCCTGGAAAGTGGATTTATAACCTAAAATATTGAATGCATTCATTCTATTATTGTGTTATTACCAGACATATGTCAAGGTACCCCTACAGGTACACATACACCAGTTTTAGAAATACTGTATGCAAGTTTAAAGTAAGGTAAAGTGAAATAAACTGAAATGTAGTGCACCTGTGTGAACTTCAAACATCCATTGATGTGCAAGGAATTTGAAAATATAGAGCTTCACAAGATTGGATGTGGGCACAGGTTCACTTATTTCCCTATATCTCAGGGGAAACTATAAGAGAGAGCAAATTTGTAAGAGTAAATTAAAGCCAGCATGGGCTTCTTAGAGTAAAAAATAGTGTTTGGGATAAGATAGAAAGTTCTAACCCTTCCCTTCGCTATCCAAAACTGAAAAAAAAGTCTCACACATCCTAAAACAAACTGGAAAAAAAATTAAATTGCTATAACAAAAACACATTAAAATGGAAACTGGAGGTGCACCGAAATGGAAATTTTAAAACCGAAACAAAATTGAAATTAAAAAAATTGCCAGGCTGAAACCGATACCAAAAATGTTTTTTATTTTAATTTTTTCAAATTTTTCAAATATTTTATTTTTTATAAACTTTTTTATTTTTTTATATATCTAATTTTGTGAATATATATTTCATATTTGTTTTTGAAAGATTGAATATTTATGTAATGATGTATGACATTTTGGTTGAAGTTTTTCTGTATTTTTCTTTAAACAACAGATCAAGAGTCAGTCCCGTATCAGCCTAAATCAGAGCACCAAGAGGAAGGTATGTGAAGCACTGTCTGTCATGTTTTATTAAGAATAGATATACATTTGTTACTGTTAAATGAAATGCTTAAGGCACAAACAGACATTCAGTAAAGATTTTACTGGACTAAGCTTTGATTGTATTCCTAATCACCAGATTATCATTATGTGTGTGTAAAGCCAAACGTTTTTCTTTTGGATAGCATGGAGAAAGGTTAGAATTCCCATCAGGTTTTTATGGCTCTCTGAGTCAAGTGATTGTTTTATTAACAACTAACGTTAGAATCTGTTATTAGAAGCAGAATGGGAGAGAATTCTTTTAATTGTACAGAACATGAAGAGAATTTCTGACTCATCTCAATCATATTGCTTATATGTCCAAAACTGGGTGAATTAACTACCTCATGGGAGGAGCAGGCTTTGCATCACAATAAACTGTTTTCATGATATGCTGATCACATTATTACCCTTGCACCAGCTTACTTTTGTCACAGCCTGGAAAGTGGATTTATAACCTAAAATATTGAATGCATTCATTCTATTATTGTGTTATTACCAGACATATGTCAAGGTACCCCTACAGGTACACATACACCAGTTTTAGAAATACTGTATGCAAGTTTAAAGTAAGGTAAAGTGAAATAAACTGAAATGTAGTGCACCTGTGTGAACTTCAAACATCCATTGATGTGCAAGGAATTTGAAAATATAGAGCTTCACAAGATTGGATGTGGGCACAGGTTCACTTATTTCCCTATATCTCAGGGGAAACTATAAGAGAGAGCAAATTTGTAAGAGTAAATTAAAGCCAGCATGGGCTTCTTAGAGTAAAAAATAGTGTTTGGGATAAGATAGAAAGTTCTAACCCTTCCCTTCGCTATCCAAAACTGAAAAAAAAGTCTCACACATCCTAAAACAAACTGGAAAAAAAATTAAATTGCTATAACAAAAACACATTAAAATGGAAACTGGAGGTGCACCGAAATGGAAATTTTAAAACCGAAACAAAATTGAAATTAAAAAAATTGCCAGGCTGAAACCGATACCAAAAATGTTTTTTATTTTAATTTTTTCAAATTTTTCAAATATTTTATTTTTTATAAACTTTTTTATTTTTTTATATTTATATTTATTTATTAATTCATTTTGTATTAAATATTTTTTTTCACATTACTTTTAGGGGCTTCAGGGAAATATTGGGGGTCTAAACACACCCCTCATATTTCCCTTTTAAAATAGAAAAAGAGATTGAGAACACAAAGTCCTCAATCTCTTTTTCTGTGTCCCCTGTTATCAATGAACAGGAATCCTCTGAGTGTTCCTGTTCATTGATAACATAAGGACAGAGTGTGTTTACTATAACCACAATCATGAATGAACAGGAGGTGATGTAGATCACTCCCATTCATTCATAATTGAGGATATACTTAACATACCATGTCCTCACTTATCTACAAACACTCAGCGATCACTGAGTGTTTGCACTCGCTCTCCTCTCTGACACGCTGTCACAGGAGGCTGAGCGATCGGTGAAGGGAGGAGAGCTCAGCCTCCTGTGACAGCGCGGCCTTTCTCCGCCCAAACACCGCTCTGCCGGACTGTGATAGGAGGCTGAGCACTTTGGGAGGAGACTCCGGCCGCTCACAACACTCTCCTCCCGCAGGCTCGGCCGGCTATCACAGTTTATCTGCTCCCCGCTGGGACACAGAGCAGCGCCCAGCGGGAAGGAAAGAAAGCAGGGGTGCGCTGATGTATCAGCAGGAAAATGGTACTTTCGGCATTATGCCAAAAGACCCATTTTCGGCCGATATGTTTCGGCGGTCAATATATTGGTGCATCCCTAATGGCAACCATGATGGTTTTGGCAAAGTTTTACATAATTTGTTTAACCTTAATGTTTTTTTTAAGACTATGGGGTTGATTTACTAACCTTTTAAACACACCACGAATGTGTATACACCTCTGTAGTGTGTTCCCTCCCAGCATGATCTATGGGAGGAATCGAAACACCTTTGTAGTGTGTACACACCCAGCAGGTGTGTTGTGCAAAGCCCTGCAATGAATTGCAAGGTAATGTGGTGTAAATTAGCTCTATGTTATGTTGCTTGCGTTGATGAATGCAGGAATGTAAATGCATGAGCTAACCATTTTTGTCTAAACTGTGAAGCAGCATTATATATGCATCATGTGCATGATTTTTCCATATATGGCATTAGTGGAAATATGCTTTTAGAGACTTTTTGGTTGATAAATACGTTTTGCTGTGTGAAAATCACACACACCTGGTGCGTGCGTGTGTTTAGGTTAGTAAATCACCCCCTATGTCTTATATCTATGTTTTCTATTTTCCTGAAATTTGTATTTGACATATAAACCGGTTGCACAAGATATGTCCTTTAGTCGATTTCTGTCTCTCCAAATAAAACTCTAAATGGCCAACCTGAACGCAACAGGCAGGAGTTTGAAGGAAATAAGTAACTTCTATGTGTGGGTACATTTCAGCCTGAAATTGTAAACAACAGACTTTTTTCAGAGGAGCTAGGAATATGCAGGTAAACATTCAAAAAGGAGCTCCACCTGCTGGCTGGCAATGTATATATGATATATCTATGTTTAATAATTGCATAATTTGACAAAAAGTGCACAAATAAAGTTTATAAAAACTGCTACATTTGTTAGTCCCGAACCCAACATAACGTCCATTAACCCAGAATATGGTGCAGAACCCCATTGAAGTCTTATATTTTCTGGCCTTTGTCAAGGCCATATTGCAAGCTTTTGTTTAAAAAAGGACATGGGTAGCTGGGCACTACCATGAAGGACATGTATAAATGGAAAAAAAAGATATCGTTCAACGGTTGTAGCATTTTGTAATTCTATGGTTCTCATTGGTGCCAGGATCCCGGGTCAGTCTGTTCACAAAAACCAGGTGGCGGAGGAGCTGTCATCTTGTGTCAGGAGTGCTACCAACACCAAATGACAGACTTCTGGCTGATGTTTTTTATTTTGGGCAATTCGAATGTCTGAAGCTGGGGCTTTGGGCATTCGAATTGGCCCAATATGACCGGTTCGACCAATTAGAGAACTGCAAACAGACATGATTTGGGTCAAATTCATGTTGAATCTAAACCCGAATCTCATTCCTAATCGTAAACATAATAAAGAAAAAAAAACAGAAACAATATACATTATAGTTTGGGCCCCCTGCTTAAGCTGAGAGCCCTCTCCAGTTCTCTTCTCCTGGATTATGGAACACCTTCCCTCTGCCTCCTCTCTCCATTTCATGAGGTGGAGGTGTTCTGTAGTCTAAGAGGAAAACTGGTTAGGTTTGATAACAGTGCCTGGGATTCCAGTGCAGCAAAGGCAGTGTTATTAATTCACTACAGATTATTTAGCACTCCATGGATTTCTGGCAGATGAACAGGTGTTTTTCTGTACTTGCAGACAAAACATGGATAAAGGTGTATGTTTTGCATATGCATTTAATAATGGCCGGTTTGAAATTAGTCTATTTATTAAGAAAAATAAATTTGGTTTGATATACAGATTGGCTAAACTTTATACCATTTTATTCTTTTAAAGAGATATTTGTCAGTTAGAACACCAAACAGTTCATAATTTAATAGAAAATGTATTATGAATATGCCAGTCAGAGCCAATGTTCAGAACAGGTATTCCCCACAGGGGTGTTGCAAATATACGTTTGGTATCATTGGAGCTAAAAGTAATCGGAAAAGAGATGAAAAACATATTACT